TAATATGTTGACCTTTGGTACCAACCTTAGACAAGTAGAACTTACAAAAGAGTTCTTGTCATCAAATTTTGCCATGAAAGACATGGGGAGGCGGAGGTGATTCTTGGAATTTGAATCAAGCTTGAGAACAAAGGAATATCTTTAACTCAATCACACTACATTAAAAAGGTGCTTAAAAAGTTCAATTATAAAAATTGTTCTCCCGTGAGCACTCCCATGGATGCGAGCGTGAAGCTTATGCCTAATACGGGACAAGCGGTATCACAACTCGAGTACTCACAAGTAATTGGTTGCTTAATGTATGCCATGACGAGCACTAGACCGGATATAGCTTATGCGGTAGGAAAGTTGAGTAGATACACTAGTAATCCTAGTACTCATCATTGGCAAGCTGTAAGGCGGGTGCTCAAGTACTTGAAAGGAACCATAAATTATGGTTTGTCATATTTTGGATTTCCTTCGTTCTTAGAAAGATATTCGGATGCAAGTTGGATCACCAACGAGGAAAATCATTCTTCTACAAGTGGTTGGGTGTTCCTACTTGGGGGAGGTGCCATTTCATGGGCATCAAAGAAACAAACTTGTATTACAAATTCTACTATGGAATCAGAATTTATAGCATTAGCAGCTGCAGGGAGAGAGGCTGAATGGTTAAGACACTTAGTCTCCGAGATTCCATTGTGGCCGAAACCGGTGTCACCCATCTCTATCCACTGCGATAGTCAAGCTACTTTGGCTAAGGCCTATAGCCAAGTGTATAATGGTAAGTCGCGACACCTAGGCTTGCTAGCGGGATACGTGAGTTGATCACTCATGGGGTGATTACTATAGAATTCATTCGGTCTCAGCAAAATCTAGCGGATCACTTGACAAAAGGACTAGCTAGAGACTTGGTGATCAAGTCGGCTAAAGGGATGGGATTAAAGTCCATTTGAAATCTTTAATGGTGGGATACCCAATTCTCCTCTAATACAATGTTAGAGGCTGGAATCAATGCGGAAAGCCCACACTTAGAGATTGAAGCACTAGTTTATATCATCCCAAAATAAGTGCTTAGATTTGCAAGAAAAGGTTAGGTTGAAGTTTTCTTCTTAATAGATCTTTTGAAAAATTGTATTTTGCAGGTGCAAGATTAAAAGATCTACCTATATGGGTGTGATGTGTAGCCGCTTCAAGAAGCTCGGACTTGGCTTTGTATACGTTTATGAAAGGACACATGGCTTATAATAGTGTCAAGGATAAACACTTAGAGTAGTGAGTGAATTCGTGTGTGTATTATCTTCATGTGCTCAAAATGAGTTGAAGGATTCAATCTGTAGGACATCCTGATCCTCGAGCATTTGAAATGTGTAATATTACTAAGATATAAATTCAATCGTTACGATATTTATATTTATGCATGAGTTTGGTTTATGTGCTTTTAGTTAGTGAATCAAAGAAGCTCGGACTTGGCTTTGTATACGTTTATGAAAGGACACATGGCTTATAATAGTGTCAAGGATAAACACTTAGAGTAGTGAGTGAATTCGTGTGTGTATTATCTTTATGTGCTCAAAATGAGTTGAAGGATTCAATCTGTAGAACATCCTGATCCTCGAGCATTTGAAATGTGTAATATTACTAAGATATAAATTCAATCGTTACGATATTTATATTTATGCATGAGTTTGGTTTATGTGCTTTTAGTTAGTGAATCAAAGATTACACTTAAATGGGGGAGGAATATTGGAGATTTAAGTGTAAACCACTTAAACCAATATTTATTTAATTAACCATTGCAATTGTTCATTTTATGGTTATTATATAAACATACGGTTGCAAATATACGTCACAACTTTTGAACCATATATAAAACTCTGTTTCTCCTCTGTCAAAAACAGAGGAGAGAAGAGGGAACAAGAGACATTCACGAGACTAAAGATTGTCTCAATCTTTAGTGAAAAAAACACAAAAAAAAATATAAAAGCACTATTTTTTTCTCTTGTATTTTAGACTAGAACAAGAGAGAACTTTGATTGTCTTATCCTAGAAGGGATTTCGTGTAACCCAAGGCTTGAGAAGGGTCGAAATACTCTTTAAGGAAAGTGCTCACGTGTGCGATTCAATCACTATCCAAGTTCACGTTCGTTACGTCCCGGAGATACAACATCGATACACAACATGGCGAGCAGTGGAAGTTGGAATTTGGATCGGTGGGTTTTGCCATTATTCGAAGAGGTTAACAGTGGATCCTTGGCCGGATCCTAGATGGCTAGTTACGGGTGATCTTTGGCGGATCTCGGTGGTTGATGGCTTGTTTTGAGCTAGCGTCCATCATCTACCGCCGTTATTGGCTTCCTCTTTGTCGGATCTGAAGATTGGTTTTGTTTTTTGAGTGTTTCAAGGAAAGAACGTCAAGGAAAGTGAGGGTTAGCTTTGATGTCTCTCTTCTTGCTAGGTCGGGGAGAAGAGGTCCTGGGTCTCGCATGTGGCGGCTCTTCCTTTCTCGAAAGAAAAGTTTTGGGTTCGGTTTGGTTCTCGACGACGGTTTGCGACAGAATTTGCTAGCTCCGGTCAAAGTCTTGCGGTTGAGGTCTTGTCCGCAAAAGAACTGTCCTTGTTAGCATCAAAAAAAAAAAGTCCTTAGGTTATAAGATTATCTTATTATCTAAAGTATGGTTTTCAAAGTTATTAACTCATAGGATCGTGACACGTGGCAAATATACCGACCTTAGATTTTAACACGTGTAAAACAAAATTTTCTTTTTTAAAAAAATAAAAAGTTAATTGTAAGTAATTATAAAATTAAATAAGTTTAAAAATGTAAAAGATAATTATAAGGATAATTGTAAGAAATTAATATAATATTTAAAAAAAATTCAAAAGATAATAATAACAATGAAATTAAACGTTTTATAATTAAAATATAATTTTTTAATTAAAACAAGAAAAAAATCAGGCAAATTTATTGAAAAGGAAACATATCTTATTATATAACTAATATGATATATTTTCGTTTCTCAAAGTTAATAATTAATATTATCATGAACCGTTATTAGTCAAATATTTTAGCATGTGTCATGATTTAATTTAAAATTTGATATTAATTATCTCAATTTCTTTTTATTATTAGAAATATGTGATGATTTAATTAAGCTAATCTTCATATTATTTATTTTATTTTGTTTTTTCAATTAGAAATATGAGAGATCAATTTAATTTTTTCTTTTTGTAATATTTTTTTACTTAACTGTAATTTTTGTTTGTCCTAAATTCTGATTGTAGTATTTTTAGATTTTTTATTCAATTTCTCTTTTCCTATTTAAATTATCGAAGATTCACATATCATCATATTTATAATTTTTTAATTTTTAGTTTTATTGTTGTATCTTTAAAGTATTTATTTTGATTTCTACTTTCAGTTTGAATTATAGAAGATTTATCATCTATCATAGTTCTAATGATTTTAGATAGCGACATGTGTCATGATTTAAATTACAAATTTACACAATTGATATCTATTTTATTTTCTAATTAGAAATAGGGAGACTCACAAAAATGCTCCTTTTTCAATACCACTTTTCAAAAATGCCCTCTTTGGCTGTCCATTTTTAAAAATACCCCTTTTTATGTACAAAATGACTAAATTACTCTTCTTTTAGTAAAAGATATCACAAATATATAAGGAAATATAACAAAATTAGGTCCACAAAATACAAAATATTTTTTGGCGGGAAAAGTGATCCCGCAATTTTTCCCGCCAAAACACTTGTAAAAACTTGTAAAACCTTTAAAATACCTTGTAAAATTTTCCCGCAAAATTTTTTTCCGCCAAAACACTTGTAAATACTCTGTAAAACCCTTAAAATACCTTGTAAATTTTTCCCGCCAAAACAATTTCGCCAAAAAAATTGCGGAATCACTTTTCCCGCAAAAAATGTTTTTGGCGGGAAAATTTTTTGGCGGGAAAATTTTTTACGGGCAAATTTTACAAGGTATTTTAAAGGTTTTTACAAGTGTTTTGGCGGAAAAAATTGCGGGATCACTTTTTCCACCAAAAAATATTTTGTATTTTGTGAACCTAATTTTGTTTCAAATAAGGGTAAAATGGTCATTAAAAATTAAAAGAGGGCAAACTTAAAAATAGACTCTCAAAGGGGGCATTTTTGAAAAGGGGTATTGAAAAAGGGGCATTTTTAACAATTTCTCTTAGAAGTATGTGATGGTTCTAAATAAAGTTTTATATTGTTTATTTGAAAGTCTTGAATACGTAAGAACCATATATGATTCTTCTTTGTTTCTGATATTTTAATTTTATTTATACATTTTTAAATTATTTATTTAAGTTTCTATGTTCATATTTGAATTATATAAGATTCATATATCATCGTGCTTATAATTTTTTGAATTTATCAATTTTTATTGATTGATCATAAAGTTATTGCAATCGAGTATATAGGAATCGAACCCACAACGTTAGATTGGAAGGCTAAGGGATTTAGTCGATTTATCATCTTTATATTTTTATCCTGTCTAATTAAAAACCACTTTGGTTTCATTCACCAACTTTATGATGAATATTTTTAATTTTAGTTCTTCATATAATATACCATGAATTATTACTATGTGATATATTTTTCATTCGAAATAAATTTTGAATCAATAATTTTAGTAGTTAAAGAAACAATGCAATAGTGAAAGTATTTTTTTTTACTTTTAAAAAATAATTTCTACTTAAAACGTTGTTAACTAATTTTTCGTTAAATTTGATTTTAATTTTTAAAAAACAAACCCGTCCAATCCTTATCTAGTTTTATTATATTTTGGAAATTAATTATTTATTTTTTTTAGTTTACAGGATTTAGGAAAATCTTACTTTATAGTTTTATTATATTTTGGAAATTAATTATATTTCTTTTTTTTAGTTAACAGGATTTAGGAAAATCTTACTTTATAGTTTGTTATCATCTCCTGCAAGTAATTTAGCTCTGCAAGTCATAATACAAGGTGACTCCTACGGAAAAATAAAACCCTGATTCATGGAGGAAGAAGGCACTCTAGGACAAGGAGATGGCTCCTACCACATTTACATCAGAGAACAGGTGACTGGAAATAAAACTAAGTCTGTTTATGAACGTGCAATGGAAACAGTAGTTTCTGAAATCAGCATACATATGCCTGCGAGTTGCCATATCTGTTTCGATGATGATTTCAAAGCTGAGCAGATGTTTTCTGTTCCTTTATGCGGTCATCGATTCTGTATTGAGTGCGTGAAACGACATATAGAAGCGAGGCTACTCGAGGGACGTGTACCGAGATGTCCTGATTACCAATGCGAGTCTAAGCTAACTTTTAGAAGCTGTGCTAACCTTTTGACACCTAAACTAAAAGCGATGTGGGAACAAAGGATCGCAGATGAATTGATTTTTGTGGCAGACAGAATTTATTGCCCAAACCCGAGGTGCTCGGCTTTGATGTCGGTAACAGAGCTCTCTATATCTACTCAAGAAGCTAAAGTTAGGAGATGTTGTGTCAAATGCAGTGAACCCTTTTGCATCAACTGCAAAGTTCCATGGCATAGTGACTTGTCATGCGGTGATTACAAGAGATTGGGTCCGAAATCTACTCTAAATGATATAAAGCTAATAATTCTAGCAAATCAGAAATTGTGGCGTCAATGTAAAAAGTGCAACAACATGATCGAACGTTCGGAAGGATGCTCCAAATTAACTTGCAGGTTTTCATCACATTCTCTAGCTGTTATAACTTTTTAAAAATTTGATTATGTTTCTCGCGTAATTAATAACATTGTAATAATGTTGATGTTTGATGGTTAGGTGTGGATATTCGTTTTGCTACACATGTGGTACCGAATGGAAGCGAGGAGGTTGCACTCACCGAGCAAACTTGCATACATGCTATACTTTTATCTTACTTGTTATTACTGTTTTAATAATAGTTCCTATATTTATGCTTAAAGTAGTTAAGTAATCAGTTTTTTACATTGTTCATGTTGCTAATTGATAAAACTGTGGAGGCTTTGGTTGCTTTTTCTACGATTCGTAGCTTATAGACTATTACTCCAATGAGCAAACGAAGTTGAATATAGAAAATTATACTTTTATCAGAATTAGAAGGAAAGCTCTCTCAACATCACCAAGAGGTTAAAAAGCAATGAAGCAAATCAGAAAAGGAAAAAAACAAAATGACATGAGTGAAATAACAAAGAAGCCGTCGGCAAGGAGAGATCTTTATTGTTGTAAAATGTAGAACACCTTCTTTCACTCTTCCTGAGCAAGAGGAACAGCTTGAGCCTGCAAGAAAATAAGAGACTTTGAGATACTACTCCACCAGAGACAACACTAAGAAGGGTCTAATAAAGTGTGGACAGATGAGAGAATGTATACCAGTGGGCGGTACTTCAATGCGTAGAACATCTCAAGGTATCGACGACTCTCAAGCCGGTCAAGGTTCGAGACATGTTTCCAGAAACCGTAGACACCAGTCAATGTCAGGAGCCTCTCTGAGTAAATTTGCCATGTATATCTACAAAAACCCACAAGAAAATGGTTAAAAAAACATCAAACAATAAATAAATATACGTGAATCTACAAGACCAGACTTATAGTTTATACTTACTTCTCCTGGATCCTCTCAAGTCCTCCCAATGAAATCTGATCCCAATGAGATGGGTCATGCTTACACTTGGTGAAGAAATCAGCAAGTGTCTCAGCTGCCTGGTCACCATGGTATGGATCAATGTGGAAACCAGATTTTCCATGCACAATGATCTCAGCAGGACCACCATTGCAAGTAGCAAAAGTCGGTAACCCACTGGTCATAGCCTCAACAACAGTCAACCCAAAGGCTTCATAAAGAGCAGGCTGTACAAATGCACCTTTGGTGTCACATATGTAACGGTAAAGCTCGCCGTTTCTCACTCTGTTCATTTGTGAAGAGATCCATCGGAATTGTCCATTGAGTTTGTATTCCTCAATCAGATCATACATTTTCTTCATCTCAGCCTTCTCTTCATTGTCCTGCGACTCTTTACTCCTGTCTCCACCCACAACGACCAAGTTCACCAGTTCGCGCAGGCGAGTGTTCTTACCATACCACTCAACAAGACCTGATAAGTTCTTTACACGGTCAAGCCTAGCCATGGTGAAGATGATTGGCTTCTTCTTGTCCTTAAGCACACATCTGTTTTCAAATTTAAGCAGAAAGGTTAGGTTTTTTCCATAACCATCAAACATTCTAAAAAAAAACAACATGAGTCATATAAAAAGCTTACAGGTGCTCTTCGTTCTCAACATCACTGTAAAGGAGATCCTCGATCTCTTGATGAAATGCGGTTAATCTACGCTTCTCCTCAGTGTAGGCGAAGTAGATGCTCATATCCGCACCAGGAGAGACAATGTTGAACTTGGGATCAAACACATCAATACCGTGAACCACACGATACAGCCCGGGAAGTGTGAAAGCTGTGTGACTCTCGTACTGACCAACAGTGTCCTTGCTGAAAACAAAAAACAGAGGTTACTTTAACTCGTATCTATGGAAGTTGTAGAAAATTATTTTCTTGAGACTTAAGTCTTCTCTCTTTACCTTCCAGCAATTTCTTGGAAAGTACTTGTGATGATGAAATCTGTGTGGTTCATGGCGATAAGATCAGCCGTGAACTGACAAGAGAAGTGGTACTTCTCGTCGAGTTTCTTCCAGTAGATATCAGAATCCGGGTACTTAGTTTTCTCCAAAGCATGAGCAATGGTGCACTGTATAATAATAAACAAAAAGATTCTTAGCTTTGGAGCAAGACAACAAATTTCTCAATGGATATGGATAGAAACAAGAGACAAACCTGAGTAACACCAAGTTTGTGGGCTAACAAAGAGGCAACAAGATTACCATCACTATAGTTTCCAATGATAAGGTCAGGTTTCCCTTGCAACTCTTTGGAGATTTCAGCTGCAACATCCTGTGAAAAAACCAAGGCACATTCATATATTGAGTCAAATAAGGGTAATAATAAACAAGAGCCATGTTTGTAGGAAGAAATTGGATTTATACCTCGGTAAAAGTCTCTAGATATGGCCAGACCTCAAATCTTGAGATCCATTTGCGAACGATTCCTTTCTCTGTTCTAAAAGGCACACGGAGGATATCACAATACTGAGTTCCGTACACTTTCTCTAGACGTTGACCACAAGTGGTTCCTGCTGCATCAGGAAGCAACCGAGTGATCTGTGACAACATAAGAGAAGAGTTTTAGACATCTTCACATACACACACACACACAAGAAGAATCATCAAAGCAGCAGAAACTAAGCTTACAATTAGGATTCTCGGAGTGATGGTGAGTCCTTGTTGTTTGATGCGTTGGAGCATCTCTGTTTCGAGAGCACGAACTTGATCAAGAATGTAAACAACCTGCAAGAAATTTGACAAGTTTAAAGATCCATCGAGGAATGAAGAAAGAAGAACTCTTCAAAGTGTTTAGTTACTGACCTGACCACCAGTGTCAGGGTAACCAAGAACATTATCCTGAGCAAAGTATCCATGAGGAGAGAGGATCACAACGTTGAAAACCATTGGGATCCTTCCAAGGAAATTCCCAAGAGTGCAAGGGTCAGGTGCCTCGAGAAGGTCAAGAAGAAGACGAATCATGTCAAGTACACGCACCGCGGTGTCTCCCCAACCTCTCTCAAGACCAATCCCCTGGAACTTGTGCTCAAACTCCGAGTAGGGTGTCTCGGGTTTCAGCTCCATAAGATACTCCTCTGCTTTCCTCAGATTGTGTTGCAGTGTGTTTAGGTTCTGGATCCTGTCGTTAAGCATCAGTGTCTACACAAACCAAAGACAGAGTGATTAAAATTTTATTATTCAGACAAAAAAATTGAAAGGAGAGTTGGTTGAGATCAAACCTTGCCCTCGTGGGAATGGAGGCGGAGGAACTTGAGCAGAGGATGCAAGCTCTCCTTATCGTGGAAGAGCTTAGCCGAGAGATGGCGATTGAGGAACTCAACGCCATTTCCAATGTACTTGTTGAGCGTGGGACGAGGGAATGCGGCGTTGAATGGTTCAAAGTCAAGCTCAAGAGTAAAGTTACCATTCTTACTGCAATATAGTCATGACATAAGTTGAGTAAAGGACTACGAGAAAGCGAGAGAGAAGAAAAGAAGAGGTGAAAAACGTACATTCCATCGACGAGCTCTTCCTTGAATTGAAGATATTCAGAAGCTTGAAGCTCGTCAACGACAAGATCATGGAGGTTAACTCTTACGTATTCCCAAACTCCAGGTCTTGGTCTCACAGCTAAAGCAACAAATGGTGGTAACACAATTGCTTCTTGAGCTGAACGGAGGACTTCGAAGAAAGCTCCACCTTGAAGCTTCTTTTGTGTCTCTAAAGGCATTGCCTCAAACTCAGCAATGATCTGGTGGTATTGTAGAATGCCTTTGCCTTTGGCTTCAACCCTAAAAAGAGAAAGAAACAGAGTATTTAGGGTTTTTTTTAGGTAATCTTACAAGACAAGTTAGTTAGTTTGAAGTGTTGTTGTGTTGTAATACCTTGAGAGCAAAGCAAGGACTTCATTTTTCTGAGCAATAAGAGTCGCATCCAAACGCTCTCGCTGGCTTTGGACGCGCGTTATTACACGTTCCGCGTTTGCCATTTCAAACAAAATCAAAAAGCTTTTGAAACTGCAGAGAAAAAGAAGATGGAGAAAATTAAGAAATGTAATAAGATAATGGAGAGAGGTGAATTCAATGCTTGCCTATATATATTGAGAAATTGATTATGACTTATGAAAAAAAGTTTTAAAAAAAAAAGTAGAACAAAAAGGTCACATTTTTCTTAGTTTTTTATTCAATACAATCATACAAAAATATCTCTACTTTTTTTTTTTTTGGTACAAAAAAAATATCTTAACTTTTTAAAGTTAAATGATTATTTTTATTTTCCAACATAAAATATTGAACGAATCATCTTTATCCAATTTAAGTTTCTTTAAACATTTGCATCCACTTTCGACAAAAAAAAAAAAAAAAAAAAAAAAAAAAAACATTTGCATCCACTATCCATTTCAAAGCAGCGGTGTTTATGGCTTCTCAAATAATTAATGGAGGAAAAGATAAATCAAATCAAGAAATAAAGTAATTCGACGAATTTTCTTTTATAGCCAAAAAAAAATAAAGATTTTGACATACAGCTAGAAAATTCCCTGCAAAAATATTCTTCTAAAGATTAGAAGACGAGAAGAAACAGAACATACGTTGTTGGTTTTACTTTCTGACCAGTGAATTTTAAAATAGTGTTATCATTCAAAAATAAAAAAGAATGAACCTAAATTTTTTACTCTGATCAAATCAGTAAGCTATATTCTCTAATAAACGTTACAATGAAATTTAAGAAACTAAAAAAGGTAAGGTAAAACTAAATGTAAAAAAAGCAATTATAAAGTGAGCAAATCGAAAGCAGAAGAAGAAGAAAACCTGAAGTAGAGTAGAAAGAATGATAGGTAAAGTTGATCTCAATGACTGTGGAGGTTTTTCACTTCTCAAGAGATTTAGAATTTATAAAGAGATGGATTCTTGAAGAATGGTACTATTAATTATAATTAAATATTGACTAAAGTTAATACTTTTCTCTAATTGATTTGTCGTTATTTGCTTGGGCTCCAAACCTATAGAAAAACAGTGGGCAAGACTCGCATTTTAGGAAATATGATGGTTCGATACTTTATCTTATTATACTTATTAGTTACTTATTATATAATTCATTACTAATATGGAAATCAACAAGATAATTTGATATGGTTACCATTCTTCAAGATTTTCATAACTTGTTGGTTTAAAATGAAGTATATGGTTATCAAATTATCAATTTTCTTTCATTTTAAGGTTTCTAATGTTTTCGCATATCATAACCATTTAGAGCATTAAAATTTTCATAAACTAAACTAGTCATATAAACATTATAATATCTCATTAAAATACATTAAAAGAAGTGATTACCTGAAAATGCTACGAAAAGTTACTGGCCAAGGAGGTCACTGGAAATAATTAGAAGTGAATGAAATAGAAAATGGTGATAATGCAAATTGTGAGAGAAGAATGAAGAAGAGAATGGATAAATGAAATGTGAAGAATTTGAAGAGCTTTGATGGATCATTTTATACTAGTCTCTCTTCTCTTCGACAGCTTTGTTTTCTTTAATAATAATAATTGTAATTAAGTAGTTGGTCAATACTGATCTAATCCACAGGAAATGAACTTTGTTGGTTTTCGAGTACTGCGTGTAAAACATACATTTGCTCTATTATCTTATATAATGATTATGTCAATAAAGTAACATAATTAACCAAGTTTCACTATTATAATGTCAAATTGTCAATAAATTAATAAGTAAAGTAACCAAGAAGATAATATCAGCAAACTATGGGCACACAAAAACAACGGTTTAAAGACTACGACCAAGCTAGTTTTTTTTTCTTAAGATATTAATTTAATCAAATGGATTCAAAATGGCTGTGTATATGTAGTGGGGGCTTTGTTTAAGAAACATAGTGGTAGGTATACACACAATTTTAAGATACACTTAAAACAACTTTACCCGTGCAGAGTAGGCTTACATGGTTTTAGTTACCATGTATACTTGTCAGTGTCACTCTTCTTTTCAAAATTTAAACATAAAAATGGTAATAAGAAGAACAACAAGAAAATTATATATTGTAATATTTCTCTCGTTTTTGTATGTGGGCTACAATATATATTTGTAAGAGCATTAGCAATGGGACAAGTGGGAGGATGTGTGTTATGAATTTTTAATAGTTTAAATGTATTTCAGATACTTTTTTAAAAACCAATAAAAATGACCTTCAATAAATGCTCGTGAGAGATCATTGGTGGCAGAGGCTCGTGGGTCCCAGTTGCAAAGCATGTGAGAGAGCTAATTTGGGCATTTCGCGACAGCTGTCCTCCCACACCCGAGTGTCATTCTACACGCGGGTGCCAACTTTTTCATTATTTTCTGTTTTTTTATTACTCACACCCTCCTAAAACTTATCCCACTGCGTATGGTCTAACACTCGTCCGTCCCTATCAGAAAGGTCGGAAGAGCGTGTTAATTGTTTTTAACCAAAAATGATGAGGTTATAAGTTGTTCAGGCAAGAATTCACTTTTACCATTTCATCTAAGACCGAGCCAATAGGAGGAGACTTATCCAAATCAGCATCCGTTCGAACAAATGGCTTAGGATTAGATACTCTTCCATTACTCAAGTATTTTAAGGAGAATGATTGAGGCAAACTATTTTTGATTTGATAGAATTCAAGATGGTTAATAGAGCTTATCCCTACCTAAAATCGAACCACCAAAACTATCCCTAGGAGAATCCATTCTTCAATTTGACTTGGGCTTCGAAATTCACCAAAAAATCCATCAATTTGAGAAAAATGATTGAGAGAAATAACTATGGTTTGGACTGAATCAAGAGAGGGTCTAGAATCATTCAAACGGGCCAACCATAAGGAGATATAGGCCTCTCTTGATGGATTCCGGCCTAACTAAAATGAATCAATCTCAAACCTGATTTGTTTTGTAATCTTGATCCATCAAAGAGTCCAACCCAATAAAAAATCTCCTGTAAATCCGACCCGGTCTCATCTTGACTCATCTTTTCGTCGATCATATCATACTCATAAAAACCCTTTGTTAAAGATGTTCTAATATTATATTACACTATCTATCTTTTTTTTTTTTTCACTATACATATATCTTACCTCCTTTATTTAACTTGCTTAAAAGCCAAATATTTGTCAATCACCATTTTATGACTTTAGATTTTTTTTAAAGTTCTTAAAGTCCAACTGCCAACTTTTTTCTTTTTTACGTACAAATTTCTAAAGTCTCAAATATGAGGCTTTCAAACAAATAATAAACTTTAAAATAAATAATAATTAAAAACTTTCTTTTTTCTTCTCCTCATAATAATTAGAATCTTTCTACATGTTTATATATATTGTTTCACATATTTTTTTTGATAAATTAATTATTATCATTTTTCAATCTTTCTTTTAAGATCCATTTCAATAATATTCATTTTATTTTCATAATCACCATTAATATTGGTATAAAAGAGTTTATAGAATAGTATTTTTAATAAAACATATACTTTATATACCCATTCAATTATTTCATAAATTGCTTCATCATTAATAATTTTATTGATTTTTGATTACTCAAAATTATACAACTACTCAACAAAAAAGAAACATTCAAAACACTATTATTAGTCATTTCTTTTAAATAAATATTTTATTATTAATAATTTGATTTTTAGTTTATCCACTTTTTAATGCAATATTTGGTTATTAAACATGAATGAATAATACGTATTTCGTTTATTTATTGAGAATATTATTCTATACATTTATTTATGAATTTTTGTATTTTTCTAAATTCTTATCATTAATAAAATTATATTGTCACATAAATTCATTTATAACATTATTTATATTTATTATGAATATATATAATCCTAAAAAAAATAACAGTCACAGCTTCTACAGCTTTGTTTTACCAATCAGATTTTAACAGCTAAAGTTTCTACAGCCAAAGTCTCTGCAGCCAAAGTTTCTACAGCCAAAGTTCTTAAAGCCAAAGTCTTTACAGCCAAAACTAACAGCCTCTTCCAATCACCCCCTACATCGGTTTACGTTAGTACGGTCTTCGTTGTGGAATGACAGTCGTACACGTGGCACGTTTAGAACCATCAATCTTCGACCGTTCAAAGTTCAAAAAATTTCAGGTATGCGCAGAGAACGGGAATTAAAAAAAAAAGATTTTAAAAAGAAAGCAAAAGAAGAAGACAAAGAAGAAGAAAGTAGCAAGAAAATAGTTTCCGTTACACATCTCTCTCTGCTCTCGATTTTTCTCTGCGAAAGCCAAAACCCTATTCATCTCCACCAACTTCCAATTCTTCTCGCCGATTTGATTTTCTCCGGCGAATCTTCCGTCCGTCGCCGACCACCACCGCGGCGTTTCATTCTCCGACCGACTGTTAAACCCCTTCGTCTCTGTAAGCGATCTTCTTTGATTCTCTAATTTTCTTTCTTCTTTCCTATTCTGGATTTGATTTCAGGTGACTATTATGTTGGATTCTCATGTATTCGTGGTTCTAGTTTCCATAGATGGCTTTTGTTTTTAGGTTCTCTTGATTTACAGTTACGATTACTGATTCTCGAAGAATATCTTGGATTAGGGTGATTAGATTGATAAGCAAGTGTGTTTAATCGAGTAATCTATAGATTTAGAGTTGTTTTGTAGCATTTAGGCTTAATAAGTTTCTAAATTTGGTTTCAATTTTGTGTGTAGAAGAAAGATGATGGGACCTCCGAGAACACCGTTAAGTAAGGTAGAGAGGGTCAATCCTTATACTCCAGGTGGTTCCAAAGTTACAGAGGAGAAGATTCTTGTCACTGTTCGGATGAGACCATTAAACTGGAGGGAACATGCCAAATATGATCTCATTGCATGGGAATGTCCCGATGATCAGACCATCGTCTTTAAGAATCCCAATCCTGAGAGGGCTGCAACAAAATTTTCATTTGGTATTTTGATTAGTCATTGCTTATTTGTCTTCTCTTCTTTTCATTTTTGTTATTTAGCTCATTGAAGTTTTGTCTTCTTTGCACTTATAGATAAAGTTTTTGAGCCAAATTGTGCAACTCAAGAGGTTTATGAAGGTGGTTCTAG